TTTTTTTTTTGGATACGTTGGCTGAAAAACCAGCCCCTTAAAGATTTGATGTTTTGCATTAGTGAGTTGTTTTTGGCGCGCCCGGAGCTGCATTAAACACCGTTCTGAAGCACTTCGAAGCAGAGCGAAACTGTAGACTGCTGTTAGCGGTTTCGACGAGCAACAGCTGCTAAATACGGAGGAGAACGCATAATTCTTAATCGTTATGAAGAACCTTTTTGTATTACGTGGCCAAATTGTTGATGCTCGGGCCAGCCCATTTCTAAATCGCTGCTCATTTGCAGGTGTTTTGCTTGGAATTCTGCGCAGTTGAATTACCTGTTCGCGTCATCTCGGCCTCACTGTATGTACTATTCGATCGCTGCAAAGCGCTACAAGAAGTCACTCTCACGGTTTGTAAAATTAGAACAAGAATCTTAGCACCGCATAAAGACAGTTGTTGATACGATGAAAGCACATTAAGCCACTATAATTTTAGCATACGCTTCCCTCCTTTTACTATCGTTTCAAAGAAGTGCTAGGTGCATTGAGTTCCAGCCACCGTTTGTTTATTCCTACGGCTCACATACTAGCGTTTCGTCTAGATTTCTCCATGACGGCCATCAGTCGTTGAGAAATATGTGCGAAAATAAATCATATCGGATTTCCCAAGACATTGGATTTCAAATGTACTGACGTCCAAAGCCTGACCAGCAATTAATTACGGCAATTAAAGTGTTTGCCAACAACAGGCGCAGTAGCGCCACTCATCTAAACTCGAGGAATCGATTTCCTCAGCTGAGGAGTTAGTTCTACTACGATTTCCATTCATTAACCCACTTCGATGGTAAATTTGTGCTGGTACAATCAAAAAGTCTAAAAAGCCTTCAAACTGCTCATGCGCAGCATTGTGTTTGCCGCTGTCAACCACTAATAGTCTCGAAATTCCTTCGGTAGAGAGTAAGTCGTGGGGAGTTTTTAACATCTTCAATGATCTTACAATGTAGTAAAGTGAAAATATTAATAAGTACCTCTTCCGTTACGAGAATCCGCTGGGGAAACAATTATATGTTGATGATTCTGCGAAAATGTACCTCTTTTTTTTCAGCTTCGGCACTATATGGTTTTTGCTAACAGTTCTACAAATATGGTGGTTGACGATAGGCTGCTGGAGAAAATACCGCCAACTGTGACCACCTTAGTCATATCCGACTGTGCATTACCCAAATTTCAGAACGAATGCTTCACTACTAAATTTAAACAGTAGGAATTGTCATTTACAGTTGCCGCAGTGATAAGAATGGAGAATTACACGTGCGTCGTGAAAACAGAATTACACCTTGCTCTGAGAATTACACGTGCGTCAGAACAAACCTGCAAAAAACTCAAATAGAGCTCATTTTTGCAGGCAGTGCATGCCCATATTCGTAAAAAAATCGGAATTTAAAGTGTTGTGAACTTTAGCCATAAGGTGTTACAATTGTGTTGCAACAATCAAAAATTTTTAGTGAGATCATATATGCATATATGTTTGTATATCACAGCAATTAAATCCTGAAGTTACGTAAACTGAAAAGAAAAGATTTCAAGAACGTAAATTTCGACTCTGTTGTGCATACAGCCAAAAGCCTCGAACCAGGTTGAGTGTGATGTTCTTGAAAATTTTGAAGCTGAGAACGAAAAGCTTCTGGATCGATGCTTTATTTAGCACACCATAAGAAATGCCATTTCCGAAATTGGCCTATACTTCGCTGTATTTTGGTCTGTATATTCGGTAACTCGGATAGCCATATACCATGGATTCGTGGATTCTTTTTTTTTTCAGTAGCTACGGTCTTCACTATAGCTACTGGAAGAAGTAACAAGATCCGGAAGTACACTAAGCTCTGGCACTTTTCTCTTAGACGGCTGAAATAATGCAGGTAGGTTTTTCGTCTATTTGCATTTTTCTTTGAAGTCAGTCTAACCTCAGATCAGCTGCACTGTTTCCAGATTGCGCTCCTTATGTATTACGGAGTCGAATTTGGGCTTTGATGTTTTGGAAAGACTGGTATTTTGTACTCCAAACTTACTCCATCTTGATTTATCAAGCACTGATATAAACGACTTCTCTCCAATTGCACATCTCCGTCAACTCAGGTTTGCTTCACCTGCTGCGTCTTGAAGCAAATTTAATGAGATTATTTTTTTATTATATATTTTATATGCACACACTCACTATTTTCTACGTATTGTCCGGACGAATCATAAGAATGGAAGAGGACGAAAATTTTCTGAGCATGCTGTGGTTCATTCAGGACTGGTGTTGTAGATGGTGGGGATTCTGAAGGCGGATCTGATTCACAGTCAATCTTCATCATTGAGCTGAGGATGGAGGAAAGTGGCTAAAAATTAGATCTCCTCACAGAGTCCCCACCAAACGAAACTACGGTATGTAATTTGGAAGTGTTTTCCGTTGTTTTCCACGAACGCATATATTTTGCACTTTCTGTACTGGCCGTTCATTTTTGTGCCACATTTGCTGAGCAGAGCTCACTGGCCGTTCAACCTGTACATTTTACACTTACCTACTGTCCAGAAGAATGTAATTCACCATTTTTGCAGTAAGTATCACTGGCTGCCCGCGTCAGGTAACCAGTGCGATATGCTTTCGTGCACGAGGCTGTGCTATAGTGGATCGCTTGACCGAGGTGCTTCTGTCGCACCATTTTGTGTTTTGATCTGTTTTGATAA